TGGCTTTCCACTGTGTAAAAAGTTGTCTAAAAATAAAAATTTACGTGTAAAATATTTTATTGTATGAATGTATAATTGAAAATGAACTTTTATTTAGTGAAGATTAAAATCGAATTTTTATTAGATTTTGATAAAAATTGATAAAATACGTGATTAAAAAGTTGTGGGACCCATAAAATATGGTATTAAAATTAATTGTTAACTTCGACTTCAATAAAAAAATTGGATTAAAATCACGGGGGCTGAAACTCGTTTTAGTGTAGGAGTAGGTGAAAACATACAGATATCCTCCTCATTTATTGCCCCTTTTTGATACATATTAAAATTTTCATTCTCATTCTTCTACTCATTTTCAACCACATATTTTTCAATAAGATAATATTTTCCATCACATCAGTAACTTTCCCTTCTTTTTCAACTATCTATTCTCCATCACATTAATCTAAAAAAATGCATTATTGCCCCCAAAATGTGCACCAAACAGGGGCTTAGGGTACATACGGTGCTCAATCTAGAATCCAATTACCATTGATTGAACAACCATTCGTACAATTCAGATATTTTCTGCATTATCACAATTATCTTCAAAAAAAGTAGCAGCGTCAATAGGTTCCTTCTATCCTTCAGCTTCAGACAACTTTCAGCTGGCCTCCATTGTGACGATAGTACCATATATCCTNTTTTTCAATAAGATAATATTTTTCATCACATCAATAACTTTTCCTTCTTTTTAAACCATACATTCTCCATCAATCTACTATTCCAAAATACATTCTTTCAAAATAACGTAGCTCAAACACACTCATAGTATCTTTGGACTCTGTACCACCATCGCATCTAATAATATTAATGGTGGCTCATCCAAAAATGGGTATTCGTTAATGGACCATTAACAAACAATCTGTATTTAGAATGTACCACTTTATACAAGATTGTTAAGGCATTATCCTATTGTCATTTAATAATATAGATCTAACAGGGCAAATTACACAGTCAATTCTACATTTATTAGTCCGTGTTAATTTAATTTGGAGTAATGTTATTCATTCTCATTGATGTTGAGCCTCAGTCTATGTGACAATTACATGACATTAAATGATAAATTCATTTAAATACAAAGTCACGTGACTCATTTAATTGAGTCTATTATTTAATGTCATATAATTGTCACATAGACTATGGCTCAATCCAAGTGGGGATGAATAGCATTATTCTTTAACTTGGTAGATAGCAAGTTAGCATTGGAAGGAAAAAGAAAAATGGGCTAATAGGGTACTGTCACGTCAGCACTCTGTTCAATCTCTGTTAAAAATTCATGTACGTGCAGCTCTATTGTATTTAACCTAGCGGGAAGCNAGGCCCAAGCACTGAATTCTGCACTCGTAATTCACGTGCATGCGATGCTAATTCGTGTCTTCCTTAAATTTATTTTGATTATTAATTTTATCTACTAAAGAGGAATAATACAAAGTCTTTTATTTCTAAACACAGTCTTTACAATTAATATCCATAAGACCTCATATACGTAGGCATACATTTTGGTAACACAATTTAAGAAAATCCCTTATCGTTAAAATTACTTTATCTGTCCCACAAAGATAAGCTTACTTCCATTTTTAAGCAAATTATTTTTTACTTAAAATTTTCCTAATGTACTTATATATTGAATAATAATTTAAAGAAAATTAATTCGTATTTATTGATAACAAGACACATTAAATATAAATATATTAAAAAAAAAGCTAATAAATTAATTATATTCTCAAAATAATAAATTATATAATTTGAAGTAAAAAAAAAAAAAACAAAGAAAGAAAGAAAGTCTGTTTAATGAGAAAGATTTAGACATTATTTGATATAAAGTTGTAATGATTAGCTGACAAGATTTACTGAAATTGATGTGCATAATTAATTATAGGTGGGAATACAAGCAGATCACAATCTAGAAAAGCGGTGCTAATTGACAACCGTTGATGTAACAAACCCATGTGATATTTATTGGTAGGCAGGCTGGCTTTCCACTGTGTAAAAAGTTG